TTTTAATATACATTTTTTTAAGTATTTTACATTTAGCATTTTAAATAGAATTACATTTTAAATGGCATTTTAAATGCAAAAATACCCAGCCCTGATAGCAGGGCGACTCTGGGGGCATGCGTCTTTAACTCGTGGCTGGGCTGGGGGGGCAAATGTGCTCTGAACAGACTGTCCACGGGTAACGATGTTGCTCTTGTATGGGTTCCGGGACATTCGGGAATCAAAGGTAATGAGATTACTGATGAGCTAGTAAGAAGTGGCTCATCAGCCAGGCTGGTGGGATCGGAACCGGCTCTGGGTTTGCCCAGCTGTATTTGCAGGACAAAAATAAAAGGCTGGTTACGGGACCGTCATATCAACTATTGAAAGGAAGAGACAAGAACCAAGTGCAGACAGGCGAGGGGCCCTGCTGGGAGAGATGCCCAGCAGGGATCTTGCCAGGAGCATTAGGGTCTTGAGAAGAGGGGAAGCCAGGCTGGCGATGCAGATCTACACTGGCCATGGCTTCACTAACTACCACATGCACAAGCTGGGGCACAGTGACAACCCGAAGTGCAGAAAGTGCGAACACGAGGAAGAGACCTCTCTCCACGTGTTATGTGAATACCCAGCGTATGCAGGATAAAAGCAGCTTCTATTGGGCTCAGTATTTCTCGAGCCCGAGCAGGTATGTCAACTCCAGATCAGGGATCTCCTCCGTTTCTGGAGGAAGACAGGTCTGATTTGATTTGGAGGTAGTACGGCCGGGAAGACACAATGGACTTAGTCTGCGTGTCGCGGGCGGGCCCCAACTGGTGGCTGCCTCCCGAGCTTCTTCTTCTTATTATTATTATTATTAAGTATTTCGTAGCTTACTTTAATGATTGCGTTCGTGCTCGCGATGATGGTCAGAATGGTCGGTGTCGCACTTGTAAGGTGACACCGGCGTTCGTGGCGCGCGTAACGTCTCGTTAGGTTTCCTTATCGGAACGAACTTGAACTCGAACTCTCCGCTCTGCGATTAGGCAGCCGAATATAAAGGAATCACCGAATAGAATACAAAGGAATCCTATTACGATTCTTGCCGTGACCATATATGGTCACGGGAATTGTTCGGTGCGTGTGCGATTTTAATCCGCACGCACTGTTAAATTCGCAGCCTTGCATTTCCGCGTGCCGTTGTCATGCCGTCATGCCGAAATGCAAAGGTTGCTTTTTGATAATAGTCTTGCATTTCCGTAAGCCTGTTGCTATGCCGAAATCGTGGTAGCATTCGGGGCTACAACAAAATTTATTCAATTAATATATAATATATAATAGACGTTTCGATTCTATCGTGGATCCTTCTCAATATCGTAAAGACAAAAATTAAAATACAATAAAAAATTTTTTTTTAGCATTTAATTTTCTTTGCAGAGACTTGCAGAGAATTTTTTAAAATCAAATTCAATTCTTTCTTAAAAAATTGTTGCCAGACGGAACTTTTAATAATTAGATCTTAATAATTAGAGCCACAGTGATTTTTTTAAAAACAATTGTTATCTCAATTCCTAATAATCGGAGCTTAACTTTTTTTTAAATTCGTAGATAAATGTCAGCTGTCAAATGCTTTACATGGTTATTTGATATGGTGCATATTAACAAAATTATTCCATTTTTTTATATGAAAAAAGATATTTACTTTTCAAAATCGTTTTAAAATAGCTTAACTGCAAAAAATCGTTTTGTTACTAAGGGTGCGTTCGGGGAGACGCTATTCGTGCTATTTAGCGCTACAAAGGGTGCATTCCACTTAACGCCCGCAACGCTCGCAGCGCCTGCAAACCCGTTCCACATAATGACTACGATTGTTGTGGTCGCGATCAAAACGTCATAAATGACGTCATTAATCACGACCGCGTCGACGCTCATGGTAGATGAGTCGGCGTGGTCGTTTCGGCTTCAAAAATTGATTGCCAGTGCTGCGTATATGTCGTCATAAGTGCATGCTACCAATAGCGTTCCAATTTTAGTAAGCATGCTTTTCATGCAAACGCAGCTTTCATTTTGGAATGATATTTTGAGTGCTGTTAACGGGTGCATTCGGGGAGACACTATATTAGTGCTACTTGTATCATTTTATCTTCATTATTTATTAAACGCAAAACAAAGATAGATGACACAAATAGCGCTAATAGCGCGCTCCTCGAATGCAACCAATGTATAGCGACTTCAGCGAAAAGAAACAAATAACCTAGAAGTATGAAGAGAACCATACCGAAAAAATTTTTATTTGAAACCATTATAAAATTAGCACTCGATTCTAGTAATGAAGAGTCTAGTGATTCGGATTCAGAATTAGCCGAAATTATATAATTATTACGTGGACCAAGAACATGAACCGAAGGTACATTGTAAAAATTATGTCGAAGATGTTTGGCAATACACCGATGCTGATTTTAAAAGTTATTTTCGGCTAAGTTATTAAATTATTAATAACATACAGTTTAAATTCAATAAACGTAATAATAATGTGTGTTTCTCTTCTTTTTTTCCATAGCCTCAGTCGACTAACTTTTCGATTCTTATTGGAATTATTAAATAAACAATTATCAAAAAAATCTGAAGGGTATAGTGGACAAATTATATCAATAGAAAAAACGTTATTATTAGCAATATGGATGTTGGGAACTCCTAATTATTATAGGTAGTTTAAATTGATTAAATTTATGATTTTTTAAAGATATGATTTTAAAGATATTGAGAAATAATGTACATATTTTGTTAACGCCTATTGTATGTGAATAAAATAAATTTACTTTCTGATTTCTTCTTGAACATAGGTTATGCCAATTTCTGTATTTGAATTCGAAGTATGAATAAATAAATGTGACCACAAAAAGCTGACTACAAAAAAATTATAAATCTATTCACTACTTCTTGCTTTCTTAGCATCTTCTACCGAAATATTTATTTTAAATTCAGTATTACTCTCAGCATCAATTAAGATTAATTCCTCCATCTTTTCTGCCATCTTTGTGTTGTAGCTGCCTCACCTCTTCACCACTGACAAAATAGCAGACAAATTGAATATTTCTGATTTATTTATGTCTATATAATTTGGGAATCGTTTGGGGAAATTTGGGAAAAGCATTTAAACATTTGGGGGAAATAGTATTTTTCTTGTAATTAACAAATTTTATCATGCGTCAAGTTAGCAGACAG